CTCAGCCCTGAAGTGCTCAGGCAGCTGGACTAGATGAGCATCGTAGGTCCCTTCCCACTGAAATAACCTATAACCAATTTTTAAAAAGTTCCAACAATCCTGCTCTCCCCAATCCCAAATGTAAGGATTTCTAGCATTTCTTTCACATAAGCAAACCCATCAGCTGCAGCACCGAAGCCTCCAGGTTGTTTTCCCAAGACACAGAGGGCAGCTGCGGTGCATCCCCTCCCCGCTGCTGTCACAGGTCGCTGTAATTTCAGAAGCGCGATGGGCTCTTCCCCGTCACCACCACCCTCTTCAGCAACCTCGCTGCTTTATAAACACACCTCCAACAGGACAGCTCTGGTTTTCGGGAGTTCTGCCTTCACGTGGCAGTGGCAGAGCATCAGTTTATAGACTCACAGACCGGTTTGGGTGGGAAGGGACCTTAAAGCCCACCCAGCCCCCCCCCCTGCCATGGGCAGGGACACCTTCCACTAGAACAGGTTGCACCAAGCCTCATCCAGCCTGGCCTTGGACACTTCCAGGGATAGGGGAGTCTAAACGGAGGTTTTAGCCAACTGAAAACCCAAGGGCTGCGCCGCTGAGTCAGGGAGTGCAGACTGGTTTGAAGAGACCATAAACAGTGTTTGGCAGACACTCGAGACCACCAAGCAAGTCCAAAACTAGATGGTGCACTTGGCCTTAAGAGGACTTCAAGAGCCAAGGAAGGCCCACAGACACGGAAATCACTAAGACCATCAAAGTAATTTGCAGTAGTTTTGTCTGAGGAGTAAAGTCTACATGCACACTAAGCTTTACTTCAGTGTGAAAATGGATGAAGGAAGCCACTCAGCTCCTGACGACTTTCTGAATTATTTTGTAACCGCTTACTTTTAAAATCCACCATGGCACCAGCAGCTAAAGTAGTTCCAATAAATCAAGATCAATCAGCAAAGACACTTCAAATTCAGGAAATGAAATTACTTCCTTCCCTAATATCTACCACGGGTTTGTTACAGCTGGGTTCTGAACCACCAAACGCACTACGCAGCGTCAGTGAGGAAGGGACATACTTCATTTGTCTCTTTTCGTACCCCAGTGGATGTACTTCTGTGGGTAATATATAACTAATTATTTTTTTACACTGGAAAGTGCAGCTCTTCAATGCTAAGCTTAAAGGGTATGCAAAACGGCTTTCAAGTCAAAGTCACTTTCTGCTGTGTTTTCATCTCACGCCCACCGCGCTGTAGAACCCACCCCAGTGAAGAGGGCCCAAACCCAACTTTACCACCTGATCCCAAGATAACGTTTATGGTAACACTTACACAGAACTCTCCGTAAGCAGCGTTACTCAGCCGATGCACGTTCACAAACAGCCTGTACGCCACTCGCGCCATCCCCTCGTACCTGTCGTTCAAAATTAAGAATTAGACTCAGTCTGTAACTGGAATGAACTTCTAAATTGCTTTCAGCAACCCTTCAACTATTCATTTACTTTAGGAAAAAAAAACCCAAACCCCAACACTAAGGCAGTGCCAGTCTGGAAAAAAAAGAAGTAACAAAACCACCATAACCTACCAGGTTAATCCTAATGGTCCCAAAGTTCCCCTGGGTTTGAGAAACCGCCCTCCTGCATGCACAGCCACTCTGGAGCAGGGGACAAGCACGTTGGGAGGGGCAGAGCGAGCTGGCCAGCTTCTGACAGCGTGCGTCCCCCGCCCTGCAAACACCAGTCTGACATTTTCAGCTCCTCATTTGTCAGATCACCGTGTCGTCCCTAGGCTACGTGAACAACGCCATACAGAAGGCGAGCAGGCACGTGTGCAGTACGGAAGGGTTTGCAGCTGATTTATGGATTACACCGGCATGTCAGTGAGTTTGTTTTTCACAGAAGAAAAAAAGGCTTTGGCTCCATGCAGAAAAATGAGTTTCTAACAGAGAACCCCTTGCAACGAGGGGCAGCACCTTGTCTCTGCTCGGTACCACGGAGATTTTGGAAGATGCTTCATTACAGAACTTGTTTCTGCATGTTTTGTCTCTGCGCACCTCGGTCCCAAAGAGGTCGGCTTGCAGGGAATTTAACACAGAGTAGTGCAAAACAATACATTTTATTTGTTCACAGTTAAACACAAGCAACTGCCTTGACATTTTAGAACATTCTAATAAGGACAGCAAAACCTCCTTTTGGTTTAAGTTCTCTGTAGCTTACGATTGTACCATTTCCTCGTATTTCATATTTATGGCATTTAATGTGGATTGTTTAACATGCTTACAAAGAGCGCGGCAGGGAACAGATTAACTTGACAAAGACAGCGATTTTAGATTTAACTAAAAGCAGTCAGTTAAAAAAAAAAAAACAACCCACACATCTGTTTCCACTTCACTGATGGGACCCCTTCAAACAAACTGCAAGTTAACTACATACAGCAGATCCATGATTTTTAGACTTACAAAATAAAATTGCAAAATTTGTTCCTCCATAATCTTTGTGGTCCATAACCAAACCTAAAGTGGTTTCTGCTACTATCCCGGTGCTAAAATCCTTTTTAAAAGAAAAAAGAAGCCACCTTATCACTGAGGGCGCATCACTGCTGGGGCAGTTTTGTAACCGATGGCCAAACCTGCCCCTCCTCAGAACATGAAGGCATCCAGTAAGCCAGACGCCCTTCTGGGCTGGGCAGAGCAGGGTGGGCTAGCCCACTCCTGCCACACCACGGCCGAGCCAGCCCTTCACGGGCCATGCGCTAACCGTTCGCTCCGGGGGCTGGGACGCGGTGGGCCAAGGGGCAGGAAACCTCCACATCTTACCGAAACATACGCTACCACGTTTGCTACCACTACGTCTCAGAAAGCCTATAGACATGTCGACAAAACCAGTCTGTCACTTACAACCAACTCTCTATTTTCTATTCCATGCAGATTCAAGCTTTGACAAAACCACTGAAGTTCACCTTGACTTTCAGAGCGAGGACTGACCAACCGGAAGGACGCCGAGGATAATTCAGACAGGCAGAAATGTGTTTAGACCCTTGGTGTTATGGAAGAAGCGGAAATGGGAGGAAAAGTGCTGTCAGGTGCAAGTCAGCGTATCGCCAGCTGCCCTGACAGAGACCCGCTCCTACTCATGCTAAGAGGGGATGTGGGCTCCGAGTGCAAGTGCACTTGGACTTGACGTCTGCGTGAGGCGACTCTCAAGCAGCAGCTGCCACCCACCGAACGCGGAAGGAAGGGGGGCACGCGTGATGCAGGGCAGCTGTGAAGCCTGGTACGTCTAAGTACGCTGGACCCAGACATATCCAACATCTACAACAAGCACTCCGCCTTCCTAACAGTGGGCTGTTCCATCACGGAGATCGAGTCTCACCCCTGACAAGCCCCGATCCCACAATCCTCCTTTCACAGAAGGCTCCTCGCTGACTTAGAACATGATTAATGCAGAAAGGCTTCAGGAAATCCTTCCGATTCTCAGTCTGAGCAGGCTTCCTCTTCAGCCTTGTCTTCCAAGAAAACGGGATGAGGGCGAAGGGGAGATACCTAGAGCCAAATTGGCATTGCTGAGCTGAAAAACGCGCTGCAGTCTACGCAGAACAGCGCTCAAAGGAAACCATATTCTCTAAGTCAAGCCTGAAAACGTATTCCCAGAAGAATGAAGCCAATTTCATGGACTCAAAACCACAGCGGTCTTGCTCCATCTGGGAACAAAGACCAGAACTATGAAGGAGGGTCAGGCAGCGCAAGTATTTCCCGGATCAGAGAAACAACTGCTCTTCTGCAAATCTTCGTAAGCTTGCAATCCCACGTGCATGTTCTGCATGCTGCCCCTACTCGAGTAAAGCTTCCTCTCCCTTCTTCTCCCACCCCAACTGCCTTCCCACACGAACCAGTCTGAAGTCAGTACCAGTCTGTCAGGCAAACGCTTAAAATACCAAGAAGATCAGAAGCTAGTGTTTTAACAGTCTTCAGCACACAGGGTCTGTCTGCATTACAAGCTCCAGCTCCTTATCAAGTGTCTGTTCAAATGTAACTTTCCAGGAAATGTTAAGGACAATATAAACAATGCTCATGAATTAGGGTGAATGAATTGTTTTGCAGAGGTACACTGTTCTTTAAGCCTTTAGGGATTCAAATCAGAGTCCAGCTTAATGAAGACTGGGCTCTGAGGGATGTGGGACAGGCAAAATAGAGACCTTTCGATGAATGCACTAGGAATTCTAGTGCTGCTTCTTTCCAGGATGAAAGCAACCGAAGTCACCCGGGCCGGCAGCACGTTAACTGCTCTAAATTGGAAGCTTGCAAGGAAATACATAGCATTCATGGTCGACTCACAAATGTTAATTTGGCCTCATATTGCACTCGAGTTCGTAAACGCAGCCGCTCACTGGGGACAGGGAGAAAGGGAAAAAAATACTTGCAAATGCTAACAGTTGTCCCTTCAAATTAGTACACGCTGCTAAGGACTCAATTTGAGAAGGAAGCAAGAGTTAGGCTGGGCATTTCAATTCCAGACCCAAAAATGCACTTTGCATTTGTTCAGCAGCCTTCTTCCGTTTCTGGACATCAATCCTATTCCGCTGCATGAGCTAGCTGCTCAGACCAAAGAAACATAAAAGCTTTTAGTTAAACTTGCATTCACGCCTCCTGTTCTATGCCAAGAATATGAAAATAACACTGATTGACTATCTTCCTTTTTAACTGTGGTCATGATGAGTTTCATTGTAGTCCATGATATGAAGCTGTCCAACACTGCTTTCCTGGATCTTAGGCGAGAGGCTAAGGTTATCGGGGCTTGGAGGGGCCTTTGTCTCCATGCTTGGATCTTTACATAGTTCAGTCTTTAGAGCATCAGAAAGCCTGTTGATAGTTACACCCTCTTCATCACACTGGCTCTCGCTTTTGTTGCGAAACAACTCTCGGGCCTTCATTCCAAGGAAGCTCTTGGAGCTGGGGAGTGAACCTACAGTCAGTGGGACAGTAGACGAGGGCTCCAGCAACACAGATGTCTCCCAGCGACTGCTGAATCTCTGGTTCTGGGGTTTTTCTGGGGTGGAGAGCTCGCTGCTGCTGCCACCCTTACTGCTACTACTACCTCGAGTGCTGGGAGGTTTGGTCTCTCCATTTGTACCAATTGTTTCTTCACTGTATCCCACCACAGTATCTTCATTACCACAATCCAGCCTGTTTTGGAAAGACAGAGGATACAGTGTCAAGGAAACTGCAGCGAGGGTTTACAATGGCCAGGGAAACGGTGAACGCGGGTTACTTTGATTACTTCCTGCTTCTGCTCCTGCACATGTTCTTCAACAGTTTTCCTTTCCCAGGATGTAGCAGAGCAGAAGGGACTGAGGGTAACCAGAAAGGTGTCTCACACTCAGCTTTGCAACATCCCGTGTTTTAAGTCCAAAGCTGACAATAATCCCAAAACAGAATGGAACTGAATCAATTAGGTTAAAGGGAAAGATCTGTACCTCTCCCTTGGACTGTAGATCTTTTTTACCTAACACAAGCACAGGTGATCACCACAAATCTGCTGGCAGTGCAAGGAATTCTCCTGATGGCACAGGCAGAATTTTGAGTAGGAAAAACAGGTATGATCTGAGGGAAAAGTACAGCATCCCAGAGATGTTTTAGGTAGATATGTGTAAAATAACTGCTTAACAGAGTAACTGGTTGTAGATTAGAGAGACTGGTGTACAAGACAAACCAGAGGTTTCTCTCAAACTGTAATGATTCAGCTATCTGAAAAGCACTTTTGCCAACGACTCTCAGTCACTGCAGCAGTCCTGACACAGACTGTCTGTAAAAGAGGGGAGTAACAAGAATTTTGAGATGCATCATCCAAGTGCTAGGAATTCCACAAGAATATCGATTTCCAAGGAGCTGGTCATGAGTCCAGTGTATTTTACATCCTCCCCCTTACCTTTCTTCTGCTGCTTCAGCTGCTTCTGTTTTTTCATCTTCAAGTTTTTTCAGCAGGCTGCTCTTCTCCAGCCGGCCAAACAGATCCAAGATCTCCAGCTCAAACGCCTGTGTGATTCTCTTCTGGGCCTTGTACCTACTTTCTACTGCCTGCAGCTGACCTCTGAACAGAAGAAGAAACCAAAACCCATCAGGTCCAGTGTCTCCAGATTCTGCGTCAACTACAGTAGTGCATCTCAATGCACACTAGGATTTTACACAGGAACCCCCTACCTTGCTTGGATTTTGACATCTTCCAGGTATTTCTTTTGTTCCAGGAAGAGGTGGTCCTTTTTAGCAAGCTGAGATTCCAGTTCAGCTATCCGTTTCTGGGAAGCATCAAGCCTTTGGCTTTGCTGTTGAACACACAATTTCGCTTTCTCCAGTTCTTTCCGAAAAGCCGCGTGCAACATTTCAACCTCCTCAAAGGAAAGAACACAATGTTAAAGTGTTATTTTTAATTAATATTTAGACATGTTTCTGATACTATAAATAGGCACATTTTTAAGTAAGATGGAATAAAAGCAGCATTTCTAAAAACAGATATAGAAACTAGTGCTCTGAGGATGTATACTATTAAGTTACTGTGAAAATAACTGTACACCACTGGAATCTATTAGCACGTTAATGTTCCTTATAAAAGCTCTTTTCAGCAAAGCAAACTTGCCGGTTCTGCACCGGATTAGAAAAGACAAACTAAATTTTAAAACCATTTTTGCAACATGACCTTCATTAAAGTTTAGTAAAAAACCTTTTTTTTTTTTTTCTTTGGCTTATTATTCACCTTCTCTAATTACTTGCTCTCACGCAGAAACAGTTATATTGTTGTGTAATTTACTTGCTTCTAATTAAAAGAAGGTTTCTTTGAAGTCAGGAAATAAAACCATATGAACCACAGAAGTTTTAGTAAAGTTAATACTAACTCTTAATGGGAAAATGACTGAGAAGAGAAAGACTGCTTGTTTTAAAACAGCACCTTACAACACCCCTGTAAAATCCTGGTTGAGATCTTTCTACAAATTTCAGCAACACCACCCTACGTTATACACTTCCATAAACATAAGAGGCAGTGTTACTTTACCAGCAACAGTCTGCTGCCAATTACATTAAAAGCAGAGTAAAGTCTTGGGCTTTGGCAATAAAAAATTGCTAAGAATTTACATCAAGTGGCTAAAACTGACTTCAGGGGTACCCTAGCATCCCCTTCTTAGCTTTCAGGCACAGGGCACTGAGGAGATTCCATGAACCTACAGCGCACAACAATATCTGAACAGAAGATTAACTATGAAATCCAATCCCTGAAAATCAATTTCAAAACAGTCTCTGTTAAGTTATGAAGCATCTCCTGCATTCCGAAGCAAAGTCCTCCTCTGCAATCATACCTTTGTAGTGTCTGTGTGCTTGTGCTGCAGCTGCTCCAGGTACAACTCATTGACCTCCCCAAGCACCAGAAGCTGCCTGTTCAAGAACTCCATCTGCTGTTGCACTGATTCGCTGTTGGAAAGCTTTAACAAAGAGAAATTGAAGGGAATCAAACACTGGAATGAGAGGAGTCACAGCTGGCAGGTACGGTGTTCACAGGGTATTTTTATAAAGAAGGGAGACCAAGACAAGAACCCAACGCATCACAGATACTAAATGTTAAATAAATTAGTGTGCATAAAGCTGGCGACGGTCCGTACGGAGCCTCACCATATTGGCACTGCTTCCCTTAGGATCACAAGGTTTCCACTTACACGAGAAGTCCATCCAACTTCTGACACAAACAAGATCTCTAAAATGCCAAGATTTAGCAGACCTCTAACACACATTCCTACTACTCAATCTGCAAATCCCTACCATGGAAAAAGCAGCCAAAATGAGAAGTTTCAGAAGCCTTTAAACTGAGTTTAAAGATTCTTCACCAAAACGCATTTCTCTGTTGGTTTCGTGCAATTAACATCAGATTCCGTGGAATTAAGCACAGGCTTCTTTCAGAACAAGAACGAAAAAGCACCTGTAAGAATCACCAGAAGAAAACCCAACCAGGGGCCTGGGAACCTCTTCTTACCTTCTGAGAAACTTGGCTGAGCAGCAGTTCAGTGTGACACACCTTGTTGTTAGCCTTCTTTAATTCTAACCTCAGATCTGCAATCATGTTCCGGCAGTCTTCCAGCTTGGTCTGTTCAAACAACAAACAACCAACCTCGCTCAGGGTTCTGAGACTTCAGTAAGGAGTTGCAATGGCGTAAAGCTGGGGGGCTGTAACCCCCAGTACTGTAAATCAAGTCATACCGAGTACTTTGGAAACCCCCAAACCAGCTAAGAAACCATTTTCCTATTTCCAAACTGATGACAGGACAAAACAGAACTACAAGAGGATGATGACTAATTTAGGCATTTCCAATTATGCACAGTCTTATTCTGAAGTAGGTCAGTATCTCTAACAGAGGTACATAACTTTTTCTCAGATATTCATGACGTGTTATTAGGAAGGTTATTTTTAAAACCAGTAAGTAGATAACAATTTTGTTCAGTGTTGTGCTTCATACCTGCAATTCCTGGCTCTGGTTGTAGAATTCCTCCCGGTCGTGTTGCAGCTGTCTGATCTGGCTGTGAAGCTGAGCCACTATATTCTCATGTTCCTCCTGAAACTGGTGGTACCTTGCCTGTTCTTTCTGCAGACTCAGTTTCAAGGCCTGGATTTCTTTTTCCTGTAGTTTCAGCTGATCTTTCTGTGAAGAACCCCAAACGAAGCATCAGACAAGACACCTGCTGTCCTAAGTCACCAGCTCAGTAAAGCTATTGGTTAACAGCATGCAGCTGCAACACTTGTCCACAGACAGCACATTCTATACAGAGCACGTTCTTGAGGTTTTTGGGGTTTGGTTTGGTTTTCTGGCTGAAAAAGAGATTAACTGGTGATAGTGTGGCCAGGGTGGACACTCAAAGCCACATCCAAAGGCACAATGAGCAGTATCAGATTCACCCACTTCACCTCCTGCTGTTGATGGGGACTTGGGTTTCATGGCTGAAGCTACAGTTCATTTTCCAAAGCCTGTTTGGAAAGCTATTTTTGGCTCTTCTACTGAATTATCTAAAGATGAAACTGTAGACGGAAGTAGCCATAGTACGTAAATACAGAATGAAACATGCCTAAATCTGCAATGAGACACCCTGCAATGCACTTAAGGCGTCAAATTTCATCATATTTTATCATATAACCAAAAAAGAAGATTTGAGCTTTTGAAGATCTGTTGTCCTTTTTTCCACTCAGTTGAGGAGTGGAAAAAAAGGACAACACTTCCTCAAATAAAGCAGTCAGGTGTCTAGCCAGGCACTAAGTAACCGCTCCACTCACTGTGAAGCCTTTAATATCATCCAAAGCTAAGTGCTGGCAGGGGTCAAGCATCCACTGATTCAGTTGCCTACAGCCAGCTGGAAACGACTGGTTTTAATAATCACGGCACACATAACTCACCCACAACTCATTCCACAAACACTGACTTCAATTCTTTTTTAATTGAGTGGTACTGAAAGACACTGGCCAATCCAATTAATGCTTGTTCTAGCCCCAGTGTGTCTGAGTCACTGCTAGAGTTGTGCCCTTGCTCACCATGGCAGCATTATGTTCTTCCAGTGCTGTTGCCTTAATCACTTTTCGCAAGAGCCGCCGGTTCCGGAGGGCGTGCTGCTGTCTTTTGAAGCGCTCATACAGTAACTGGTTGTGCAGCAAAAGCAATTGGTTACGCAGGGTATGAATCTCATCTGAAGGGGGAGAACCTGCGTTGGAGTTAGAAGACAGAAGAGGTTACTGAACTGTACCTGTCCCTGTTCCACATGTGGGAAATATCCCCTAAAAACATGTACATTAGATTTATTTGGCCTACAAGGAAGCCTACAGGGCCTACAAGGGGCCTACAAGGAAGCTGGGGGGGCCTTTTTACAAGGGCAGGGAGTGACAGGACAAGGGGTAACAGGTTTAAATTGAAAGTGGGGAGGGTTAGATTAGTTGTCAGGAAGAAATTCTTCCTGCAGAGGGTGGGGAGCACCGGGACAGGTTGCCCAGAGAAGCTGTGGATGCCCCATCCCTGGGAGTGTCCAAGGCCAGGCTGGATGAGGCTTGGAGCAACCTGGTCTGGTGGAAGGTGTCCCTGCCCATGGCAGGGGGTGGGACTGGGTGGGCTTTAAGGTCCCTTCCAACCCAAACCAGTCTGTGATTCTATGACAATTCTATCTGAAATTACAACTTAAAAATCTGCCTGCTCTGTTTGATCTCCAACACAAACCTAAAGTTTTATACATACTGCTTTGGGAAAAATGTTTATGCTTCAAGTGGATCGCTCCTTCTATTAACAACAATAAGCCAAGCTCACCATCACCACAGAAGCCTAATAGCCCAAAACTGACACACATGTGAAGCAGCAAGAGAAAAAATCATCAGTTTTGGATTCAAATAGTACTGTAAAGGTGGAAGGATCTATTAGATGATCAGCATCACTCTGAAAGCTAGCAGATCAGAAATGGTCAAAAGCAGAAACATCTAGAATTGTGAAGAAGGTATTTTTCACTTTTCAAGGATGAAAAAGCACAGCTCATCTCACTGGAGATGTCTATCTGCTAAGCAGATATAACATAACATAATGGAGGGCACCATCTCTCTGCAGCATTAGTTAAAAAAACGGTATGCAGGTCATTGTTGAAGCAAGTCTAATAATAGAGGAACAGATTGCCAAAACACGAGAAACTTCCTCACCTCCAAAGTGAGTCCAGTCAGCAGATTTGCTTGGCAGAGACAACCTAGAAAATGAAAATGCAGCACTAACCAGTAAGTTAAGTATGGAAACACCCAGCAATTCACTTTAAAACAGAATGCCCAACTCGAAAGAACTTTCAACTTAATAAAAGTACAATTACGGTCAGTTGGCATGAAAAGAATAAGGAGGAACCGTACAAGCAGCAGGTCACAAGGGCAAAGGATTGAGGGCATCATTTCTTAGCCATTGGATAAAAATTCTCTCAGGTACAGAAAACAGCAGAAGGAGAAAGTGGGATACAGGGCAATAAGGTGAAAACACGGAATTAAGTCCAGTTCTCTGGTTCTTAGCTTCATGTGTATTAGAAAGAAGAAAGTGTCAATCTCCACTTGGCCTCTACATTTGCTTTTGGGTATCTTGTGTGGGACTTAAACCTGGCAAAGCAAGCAGATCTCACTGTCTGTGGTACCAAAACCACCCTTGCAGCACAGCCAGCAGCCCTGCTTCCTCATCCCAAGCTCTTGGTGAAGGCAGGCAGCGTACAGCGGTCCCAGCCCCTTCTTTTGTATCAAAACAAGCCCATTACCACTGCAAATATAAAAATCCCCAGCTCCCTTCCGAGCAGTGCCTCATGGAGCATGGTTTCACGGCAGATTTCCAGGCACAGCCATGAAAATAAAGCCAGGCAGAAAGGAATAACAAGCAAGTTTGCAAAGCAAGATTTTCAGTCACCTACTTGTTCAGCTCCTTAGTGTGTGCATCCGCTCCTTGCTGGATCAGCCTGTCCAGTACTTCCACGGGAGAAGTAGAGGACATGCAGTCGTCATCCTGGGTTCCCTTGGCTTTCTTTAGCAGCTCCTCAGTCTTCTTGCCAACAAAGAGGTAGGCAGTCTTTGGTAACGCAACCTCAAAAAGGTGCTCATAGAGGGGAGGCTGCCCACTCCCAAACACCACTCTTCTTTGTGCTGGTACTTTGCAAGGGCTGGGAGTGAGGATACTCGTCTCCCCAGAGGTTCCTTCCCTGTTACCAGCAGGGCTTTCACCAGAGCCTCCACAGGGCTTGTCTATGGGAGTAAACGTTTGTTTGGGGGTTTCCCGCGCACTCTCAGGCCCAGGCTTGTCCAGAGAAGACGTTAAAGGCTCAGAGGTCTGACTGTGTCCCTGAACACTGGAGACTACTGAGTGGGTCTTCTTCTGAGGGCCTGACAGACTTTCATTTGTGCGATAAAACGGAGAGTCAAATCCTCCTCTAGGCACCATGTGTTCAGCATCGGTTGTGATCTCGGAGATCTCTTTAGATATTGCATCTGAGAAGGACGGGAGGGGGGAGCATAATTACGTATCTTGTATTTCGACATTACAAACATTTTCTTAGTGAAGATGTACGTAAGGGTGTCAGAAATTACCTTCCTCTCTGTCCTTTTCAGCACTATCTTCAAAAGACAAACCACCTAAGAACTCTGGCAGATCACTTAAGGTTACTGAACTTTTACTACCAGGTGTGTCTGAAAGAAAGAAGAAAGAAAAGTTAGCTGTACAGATGCTGGTGTCTCCACCCTTATCACGGCACAACACAGATGTCTTACAGCTGAGAAGGCCTTAGAATAATCCTGTCCTTCCTTCACATGCTTCCTCCAAGGAGGAAGCTATCCAACTCCTGTTCTATTCCATGTGGAAACCAGTTCCGATCAGTCAATGGTCAGTCCTGATCCCAAAATGTAATTTTGTTAAGTTAACATTTGCTATCGCACAACGAGTGTAGGCGACCGCTTGTGTGAATAAGGAAGTGCTGTTCACAACAGAACCTATGAAATAATCATTTAAAAAGTGGCTCAAGCGTAGTGACTACTATACTTCCACGTTGGCACGGAATTCCTCTCAGCTCCTGATCTAGCTACACCAGGACACAGCACTCACCTGAAAAACCAGGGAAGCGTAGCCAGCTGATGTAATACAAACTTGGCAATACGTGACTGCTGATCAAACCGAGGCAGCTGCCAGGGAGATAGACACTGAGGCGTGCAGGACGGAAACCACGTGCTACAGCTCAGTCACAGATCAGGAGCCCAGTGACAAACCTAACCTGTTCTTAACTTGTGATTCAGAAAGTTCAGGCTCCAGTGTTGCTAGACAACTACACCAAGGAAAACCAGCTCTCAATTCCACTATCATCTCCACTTTGAGGATGGTAAAGATTCACACAAGTCCCAAATACAGTGCCAAAATCCCTTTTTACTGCTGTCACAGATGTAGACGACAGAGAATGGAAAACAAAATCTAGATTTACCTATCAGAAGCTGAGTTCCTCAACCATCCACTGCTGATTGCAATATTCCATGGGACTTTAAAAAAAGGCTCTAATACAGCAATATAATTGTAGCTAGAAACCAAAGTTTTTCCAAGAGCCTTCAGAAGGGAGCATCACCTTTATCCTTACGTTCAGCCTTACAGTTTGATCCAGGCATGCAACATAAAACTTGTCCAAGTAAGACTCCACATCAATTTGCTGCTTCTAATAAAAAAATTCACCCTCAAAGAATCAACTTTAGAAGAAAACTCCTTTTTCAGCCTTCCGTGTAGATCTGTATTTTTGAACATGCAGAAGAATGCATGAGGGCCAGTTAAAAAAATTCCACAAGCTATTCCTGAAGGTTAATGGTTAAAATGAAATCAGAAGCATCACAAGAAGGTTTTCAGTTGAATCACAGGTTAAGGCAGGATCTTGGAACTACACAGAACATGAAGAGGGGTGGGGACAAAGGAAGAATCTGTGGAAGAGTGTTTGGCAATCGGAACACGTGTCAATAAAAACAGGACTTGGTTACAATAGGTTACTGTAAGGGGGAGAAGAAAACGGGGTTTACCCAATGATTTATCACTGTTCATGACATTTTGCTGTCGGTACAGTAAAGGCCTCCCAGGATCTGGTTTGTCCTCCTGGAAAGAAACAAAACCAAAATAGATTCTTTCCATCAGACATCTGTTGGAAACAAACCCCTCAGACAGTTTCACAGACAGAAAACATCGCAAAGAGAGGGCTTAACTAGCAAACCAACATAACAAGACTTAGAACTGTTCAACTGAAAGTGGCACTAGTTGTCTAAACTTAGAAAAAAGTGATTTAGCAAGGAAACGCAACGTTTTTGTGATTCAGTTACTCTGATTTTTCTCTCTCAGTTACGATCACTGCAAGTATGGCAAATCAGTGAAAAAAAAGCAGCCCTGGTTGGCAGAAGAATTTTGTTCTACCTTTTTAGGAGGTGTGGCAGCAGCTGAAGGGAGTGAAACATGCACAAAGTCATCTGAAGCGCAGGGCGGAGGCGGAGATGTGGCTGGTGTTCCCAAAGGTGTTCCTTTCCCCCCTGCTGAAAAGGAGAAGCAAAAGTTTTCTCAGCAAGGCAAGTCCTCACTGCAGCCAAGTATTGTCTGTGAAGAATGCTATGTTTAAACACCATCTCAACCATTTACTTCTGAAATCTCTTCCAACTATGTAGCAAGATAAAAATGCTTTTTATTTAAAAACTTCAGACTTCCACATTTAATTCACTGTAATGTATTTCCCATCCTAGCATCTTGGAATGGTTTGGGTTGAAGGGACCTTAAAGCCCATCCAGTTCCAACCCCCCTGCCATGGGCAGGGACACCTTCCACCAGACCAGGTTGCTCTAAGCCTCATCCAGCCTGGCCTTGGACACTCCCAGGGATGGGACATCCACAGCTTCTTTGGACAACCTGTCCCAGTGCTCCCACCCTCTGCGGGAAAAAGTTTTCCTCATGTCCAATCTCAGTCTCCCTCTTCAGTTTAAACCCGTTACCCCTTGTCCTGTCACTCCCTGCCCTGGTAAAAAGTCCCCCCGCAGCTTCCCTCCAGGCCCCCTTCAGGTACTGGAACGTGCTATAAGGTCTCCGCGGAACCTTCTCTTCCCCAGGCATTAGTACCTAAGGTCTCCGCAGAGCCTTCTCTTCCCCAGGCATTAGTTCTGCTCTGGATGGCCAGGTACCCAGCTCACAGAAGTAATGACTGAAGCCTACCAAATGGCATGGTGTGGCACTCCCATTTAAGAAGCAGACAACAAAACTTACAGCCAGAATTTGTATTATACTAAACCTTGAAAGTCTAATTCTCAAATACAGCACGTACTAGATGTGCCAAAAGCTTTGCTGTAAGGTTGTGATGCAGACTGGGATGACTCCGACGGGACAATTCCAGGGGAGGTTGGTGGAGTGGTCATACCACAAACTGCAGAAGGACTCCAGATGCTAACCTGTGTTAGAGGCAGTACACAATTGAACACCAATCAGTGACGCTCAGAAAAGGAACATGTGAAGCACCTGTATCCAGGTTCTGACACAGGAAGTCAGATGGGGATTAAATCTGAAACGTACACTCGGTTTTGAAGAATTCACAGTACTTCTCAGAAACACCAATTTTTAAGACTGTCGCAAGAAGCTACGAACAAAGTGCAAAGCATTCAAAGGTTTATCCTCTGCTTTACCTGCTGCGGCTCAGTTGACAGCCGTACTGACTGCGGGCTCAGAATCTGAGGTAGCTGCCCTGGCATTTGTGATAGTGTTAGCCGAGGAGTGGAATACGGGGTAGAAGTCCCTGAAAGTTTAAAAAAAAAAAAAAAAGAGTAATTTAAAAGTATCTTGCATATCAACTACAAAGCAATGATTCTCCTGGCTAGTGTTTCAAGTCTTTGAGCCCAAACATTTCAAATCCATTCAGCATAGTCACAGCTAGCAAACAAGACACTTTTCCTCCAGCCCAAGAAAGTGTCTATTGAATATCTGACATACTACAGCTTTTTTTTTCCTGGTTGGTTTGTAGTTTTGGGGTACAGGTGGGACAGGGGAGGAAGAGGCAACTTTATGAGCATGCTGCACATCTGAACGACCAGAGTATATATGGGTTTTTTTTTAAATGATAGGTTATTTTCTGGTGCCTAAGAATCCAACTTTAAGTGGGATAAATTAGTCAGATGTCTTTTTGCTATGGAGCCAGGTTTCCTCCAGGAAATGGGTACTCATTGGCCATCAGGCAGGTCTTACCATAGCTGCTCTGTGTGTCAATGTAATAGCTGGCACTGGGGTCAGTTTGATGATGTTTTAAGCTTGTGCAGAGTTTCCGAGACACAGAGTAATAGCCATCTTCATAGGAGGCTTCTGCAGGGTCCAGGGAGATTTTGGCACATTCTATCACAACATCATGAGTTTCTAGTCTTTTCCACCTGCAGACAGTTTTTGGATCCAAAAGAGTAAGTTAGTCAATTATTGTTAAAAACAAGAGTTCCTGGAGATATGAGGAATTGGCTTGTAGGATGGCTAATTTGTTCCAGACAGCTTTGCATGCTCCCAGCCAAAACTGGAACAAGGCACCATATAGAAATTGCAACCAGATGACTTGTAAGAGGGGGTCTCAGAGAGGAGACAAACAGCTTTGACACAGAGATCCATAAAGGTCTGCCATGGAGCACTCTGGAAAGGAGGAACAGCATACGAAGACTTGGTTGATCCTGAGCTTCAGCAGCTGTAGAAATCAGCTCAACTAGACTCAGATGTTGGTAGTCAAAATTTAGACATGCCAGCAGTGAGGGAATCATATTATTTAAGCAGACACCATCTGCAATGCCAGTTTCAGGTCTGTGTTTTTCCTCCCAAGTTTTGGGGCTGCTGTTTATTATTACTGTCTCCTTCATTCTGAACACTTTTCCTCACTAAATTAAGCAGCCAGATTAGATTTGCCCAGTAATTCAGGGAATGGAAGTTCACTGTAAAGAAGAGAAAGCACAGCAGGCTGTCTAGCAAAGGCTGAGTTGCTTTTGAATGTAAGGTATTATGTGCAAGATACCAAATCGGAAGGCTTCAACGGCCAGTTTTGTGCCAATTGTACTCCTTAGTGGTGCCACCCTCCCCCCTGCCTGGGAGAAGCCTGCAAAATTGAGCACTGTGATATTCAATAGGTTCCCATTTAGCTGTGTTTTCCTAGTGGCTCTGAAAAGCAGGGCAAGAGCACTACTGTGCAGCAACAAGAGTCAATTTGTCCTCTTCAGTGGCTGGGCCTGTGGAGACAAGAGAAAAGCAGCAAGTGGTGCTGCTGCAGGCAAATGAGCCTATTTCTAAAGAAAACTAAATACAGCTGATAATGTTAAGACATACCTGTTAAAAGAATTGATCTGTTAACTGAACCAATATCTAGATACCAAAACAAGACACACTGAAGCCATTTTAAACACTTAAATCCCACCACGTATTTCAACAAACCAAAACAGTATCACCCAAACCTTAAGCTAATGAAGCAGGTCAGTGGTAGTTTCAGTTTATACATTATAAGCAAATTCTTTTAGAACTTTATGAGGATGTTTGCGTGTTAAGTCATAAAATGAAGACAAAGTCAACTGCTAAGTAGAAGACCGATTCTATCCCAGACAAAATGAATTTAGAACCCCAACATTGTTGCTAATGACTTTTCACAACAGTTTTTGCTTATTTATCCAGCTGTAAGCTTGGATGAAGTCCTCATGTTTAGCTGGTGCCCCTATGAATGTGGGTGGCAAAACACACTGCTGCTGACAGACAAGGTTTTGCTGGAAGCCTTCTGAAACAACCCAGCTACAAGCTGCTCACTGATCGCCTATCCTAGTAGCAGAGGGAACATATATACCTTCGTGGGTCCAGTTCATGGTCCTTAGATCCAGTCACTAATTCTGGATGAATTCGCACATGTTCCATCATTGGCTGGATGAGCAAGAGCAAGAAGAAGTACGTATTATCAGTACAGCACCTCTGGATTGCACTAAACTACACAGAGCTGATGAGCAACCTGCTGACCCCAATAGTTCAGAACGTCATGTTTAACAGATAAAGCCAACACACATCACAGCTTCAAGAGATGATCTTACTCCCAACTGAGATTTCAGCCCTCAACAGCCTGTTTTTATTCTGTTTTGCTGAGCAGCCATCAGTTAATTCAATGCAGTGTATTAAATTAGCAAATACCAGCTAGGAATTCCTTGTCTCGGATAACAGAGACAAGCAGCATTTTACCTTGACTACCTCTTCAAAGGTCTCCAAGTTTTCCTTCATACTGTAGTGAGAACGCAGAAAGGAGACAAAATTGCACGGATACATTCCATAAAGACGATGAAAGAGAGCATAGACGCTGGCATGAAGATGGACAAGATAAATCTCTGCCACGTGACCTGGAAAAAGTAGTTACAGTCTTTTTCATTACACATTGGAGAAAAGAACAAAACTTGTAAGGATGCAAGCAAAGTAATTTTACATTTGAAACGTTAACTGGAACGAGTCTTCTGAGATATGAATAGCCCCTAATGACACTGAAGTCTTCAGCGATACTATTCACAACGCTTATTCACAAACTAAGATATGGACCATTCATTCCAACCAGCATCCTGTCACTCTCAAAGCACAGCAGTTTTTAATTCAAGTTAAAACCTAAAACCTCTCTAGATAGTGAGCCAGAGTTTTCCAAGACTGACTGAATAATTAAAAAAGAAAACTAAGGTTTGCCTCATTTAGAAGGTAAAAACGAATAGCTTGTATCCACAGAAAGCAATCACGACAGACTTGAGTCTTAGCCATCCTGTAAGTTCCAACCCTACTTGCAGTGCAAACAGGGCTCTGAATCGCACCTCTGTGCTTAACGCAGCGTTTGCTCATGCGGCCGTAGGACGCACATTGACAGCGCTGGTGTTAGATATCAGACTCTGCAACAAGTTCAGCCAAACCTGTTCATCAGAACCAACGCTGTAACTGAGAAAACCAGTTTTACCAACACTTCCATGACTATCGAGAGGTGCACATTAGAAGAAAGGTACATGTTGTTTCTTCCCCCTCCCCATCCATACCTGGGAATCTCAAATTCCCTAATATCTGACTCAAATATTAACATTTTCCCTTCTCTACCCATTAAGATCAATCTCTGCTTTTCACTGTCATCAGGGCAGCATTTCGGTCCAGTGAAACTTCATGCAGTAGCAGCACCACACGGAAGAACCTAAGAGAAGTCTAAATTTTGAGCTGAGGCACCCCCCGATGCTAACTATCAAAGAACAGAATAGCTTGTGGGCTTAATGCATCATTTTCCACATTTAAATCATCTCACACCACGAAGAGTCTCACAAAAGAATGTGCTCACCAACTGCATATGAGTCACAAGGATACCACTAAACCGAAACTGCATGCAACAAAGTTGAAATCTCACCTGGATTCTGCAAGCACCAGGCTGAGAGACGCCCAAAGATACCAAAGAAATCATGAAGGTACTGTTTGCCAGACTGAGGAATCATTGGCAACATGGTTATTAGCACTAGGACACCTGTGGTGAGTACTACTACATCTGTGTCAGTCTGCAAGAAGGGAAAAAACCTGCATTAGTCAGTTAAAAGTGCTGAACTTCATTTTTTCCAAGGATGAAGTGAACACTCAATCATCATCATGGAAAAAGTTCTCAACTTTGAAACAGTCCCTCTGAAATCTACCACAACGTAATGAGCCCGGATCATTGTCTCTTTCACCCGTAACAACTTTACGAGAAAAGATTTGGGATTCTTGCTCCTATTCTGCTGCTGCTTTTCTGTGTAAAGACTTAGTTAAAAAGGGAACATCACCACAGTTCCATAACTGAGTAGAAGGAAAAAAAAAAAAAAATCAATCACAGGTATGTGAAGCCCCTTACGTCCCACCTTCCTTCTGCCCCAGAGCTAAGCACACACAGCACTCGGAGCCTAGCCTGCAGATCCGATCAGGGTATTCAAGGATGTTGGCCAATTACCAACACAAGGGTCAAAAACTTTTCCATTAAACGTGGTTCACAGCTCTGGCTGCTAAGTGTTTCATAAAGCAGTAATAGAAACAATAACGAGAACCCTGTGGCTTACACCGAAGGGATGTGGCAGTAAACATACAGCTAGATGAAACAGGAATAGAGAACCAGATTTTAGGACAGGACACAGAAAATGCTCACGCTCTTTCCCAGTGGGGTCCCCACTTCCTTCCCCATCTTAACGCACATTTCCCTTGGTAGCCCATCGGCTCTGTCAGGACAGGGTGGAAAGAGCACAGGTAAGCTCGTGGCCAGATGCCACTGAGCTGGTCTTGGTGCCTCCCAGGAGCCACTCAGGCCATCAGATGCATCCAGCATTAGGGGTTCTTCTCCCTCTGCGTAACCCTCGGCCTCTGTTCTCCCTCCGTCAGGCACAGCCTCTCACAGCACATTTCGTGTCCATCCCTGCCCCCCTGTACACCTCCCCAGCACTTCCACATCTCTCCTACCCCCAGCAGCTTTCTGACACTTCACCTCTCACCATCAGGCACGACTCACGCTGACAAGGGTAACAGGACCCTTGTCAGCAGTTCCAGTAACAGCACTTGTAGCTGCTGCTTTGGCAGTGACAAATACACTGTGGTGCTGTCCTGAAGAGCACTGGCACTTGACTGTATCATGCATTTTCACGTGAATTACACGACTGATGTCATTCACTATCATCTTAAATTGTATTGCTGACAATGCCTTCTAGCTCTCAAAACACTTCCCGTTCTTTAGCCGCTGTTACAGCACTGCACAGTACTATAACTGGTCATTTTGCAGATGGGGAAAAAACCACAAAGCGTGGGGAAACAGCTACCTCCTCCTAATCCAGAACGTCTGTAGGTAAGAAGGGAATCTGCTAATGCCAACACGGAACAGTCTGTTGTATGGCCCATCTACAGCGCAAGTAGAGAACGTTCCCTTACATGCACAAATCTCAGAATGCAGTAATGGGAAGTAACTGTATTCCTCATTAAGTTCACAAGACAAGATTCCATCAACCTCACCGATGGCTCTCTCTAACTTACTGTTAGAAAGGTTTTAGTAAACTTTCCTAACTCGAAGTCTTATGGTGACAGTGGCTTTGGGAAACAAGGCTGTCAGGAATAACAGGATCAGCACAGAGTATTTCGTTGGTGTAATTCCACTGGGGCTCACTATTTCAATCAACATCTCTCAGCTTGACTAAGTGACATCAAAAGAGAGAGCAAATGCCTTGCGTTACAAGTACGTACGCTTACATCAGGTGTAGGAGTGTTTTATGTACAACACCGACAGTTCGTACCTTGAGACATTTAAGTAATGAAAGCAGGAGAGGTGCTTGAGAAAGCTTGTGTTTCCAAGACGGCTGTCGCCTTATCACGTGTCCCAGCAGAGAGAGAGTGGGTAAACGGGTAGCAGCTTTGCCCATATATTCATTAATTTTGTCCAGTAGATGCTGATAAGAGGATTTTCCAGTGAGTGGTGGAAAAAGGAAAGAGATTTATATTTTAACTGGTATATATTCTTTTTCACCAAGCCATATTCAGCAGTTTGCCATTGCCAATTATAGAAACTATGGGCATTTTCACATCCGGGATCCAAAAGCAAATAAAACCCAGCAATAAACCAAAGTCTGCTGGTAGTGAAATGCAAACTATTCAGTCTGGGAGCAGTCACTGCGTTTCAAAACATTTACCATAAATAAATAACAAATTCTGGTCAGCAGAAGCAAAACAATTTGTAGTGCCATTCTCCTGATCTATTTAAATATCCTTACTTGCTCTCAAATTTGTTTTAGGCTAACAAATCCAACACTGAACAAGCAGCAGCAGCATTCCAGAGACAACATTAGTCCTCAGAAAACTTTCATTTATAGATTCTTTGCTTAATTAGGACGGTATAAGCAACCCAAGAAATGGAGACCTTTAACGGTTTTTAAAACTTAACTACTCTCACTATATCTCTACAACAAGGTAATTCTATACCAGGATGGAAAAGAGTTCTAACAGATGCTACTTAAAGACTGCTTCAGTAACAGGCTGAAAACTGCCATACTTAAAAACAAGACTTTTTTTTTACCTTGTCATGAGGCTCTTGCAGCGTGGACAGTATATGCAGCGCCTGCTGAGAATTGGTTTCCAAGTAATAGTCCACCAGGTTGTTCACAAGCATAGGCCCACGGTCTGTCGGTTTGTTTACAGTGAGAAAACACACACATACACTCTCAATACACTGAAAACGAAGCATTTTTTACAGGGACATTGCTCAACTTCTCAACAACTGTTACACAATTTATAAAGCAGTACTTAGTGTTACCAGACCTTTAGGAAAATGAGACCTCTCAACTACATCTTCTAGTTTCTAACCATTCGAGCAATTGCATTTGGCTCAGGGCAAGTAACTAGGTTTTTTTAATAACCAACAATTACCGTGGCACTGTCTAACCTTAAAAACCTAAAGCTAGCTCAACTACAATAGTATTTTAACCAGTACAGGTAAAGAGTTCAAGAGTAACTTCACGTTCTCTCCCTTGAGCAGATAAAGGAGAACAAGTTCAGGGATAAAGACACTGACAGTGCTCTCATTCTCTGAAAAGCCTCCATCAACACGAGAGATGCCTTGCTAGCAGCCATCATTTTTTCCAAGAAAGTCTGGGTCTGCTGTTCTTTTGGGTTGGCTTTTTTTGTTGTTTATTTGCATGAATAACATCCCACTGGTTCCCATAATGTGGATGACACCTAATTCTTTCTAGACACACTTGACAAAGTTTCGTCAGTTTACCACTTGGGGTTGTGCCCCGGGAAAAGCGAGTCATTTCATAACAGTGTTTTCCCATTTATGTAACAGACCTTCCCAGAGACAGGCCATTAAGCAAAGTGGACTGATGAGAAGCCTCAATCCTTAAAGTGGTTTCAGACCCAAATATTAAGAGTTTCTTTCAAGCTGCATTTTCTATTTGCATAGAAAAAAACCCAACCCCAGTATTATTCAACCTTCACTGGTGTAACAGTAAAACCCTTCCTCCAGTGTCACGTAAGGATACGTACCACAAAGGAGATTATCTTTGAATGCAGCTGTTACATCTTCCAGGACACCCAGAATCGGAGAATCCAGCATTGAGAGCAGCTCCCCAACATTTCCTTGCTGTGCCATGATGCACGCACTAACATGAATGTGGAGGTTAAAATTTCAGGAAGTTCCTCATTGGTGCCTCTCTACCACACTAGGAGAGAAGACAGAGCAGATGAATGAGCTTTCCTTTCTCCCTTTCCATCTTAAAACTCTCATCACTTCCCTATTTCTTTTCTGTAGCATTGCCCGTTTGACAGTTTTACATGGAAAGGACTGCTGAAGTTTATACACCTGCAATAAAAGCTGTATGAAAAAAGTTTACAAATAAACCAGTGAGGCACAAGCAGGATTTTCTTCTTTCAACAGACACTAAGCTGTTTTGCTGCAGACCTCAGCCAGCATATACAGACTCTCAGAGCATTCTGTTACCTATTTTTTTAATTTGCTCTCCAGGTCAGTCAACTAAGACTGAAGTTTTGAATAAAATGCAAATATCTCCCTGGAATCACTCCATTCTCACTTTCTTGCAGCAATTCCTCCTCACTCTTTCAAGTCCTTTGCATAGTGGTCCACACTAGAGGAAATACGCATCTCGAGATCCTTCTCCACTCCTGTGGCTACATTAGCAACTCACTGCCCTCAGCTTTGCATCATTGCATACGAATAGATTTGCGCTTAATACTTGCCATGTGGCCAAGCTGCAGCTGTTAGCAAACTCAGTGAGGATTACTACAGCCCTGTCCCTTGGCCACCCTGTGCACACTACACAAGCCTAGCAGCACCACTCACCTTGTTTTCACATGTATAATTCGCACATTACGTGTTAAAAACTCCGCAGTGCAAAAACTGGAGATTATGAAATGCAACTGTGTGCAGACACCACGACTGGTCAGCTTCACAGCACTAAGCAGCAGCAAATCTGAGCCATTTCAGGCTTTTAAGATGGCTCCTCCCACATACCAGCAAGGAAGGGATTCAGGTATCACATCTACCTACCTACCCACCTATCCCAAATAAGAATCCTACGCTGAACTTTTCCCAGTGGCAGAATCAACTTGGCTTTACATCACGCCTGACCGCATTAGCAGGGGTTTCTTTGTACAAGGGCCTGTAGTGACAGGACAAGGGGTGACAGGTTTAAACGGAAAGAGGGAGATTGAGATTGGACATCAGGAAGAAATTCTTCCTGGAGGCGGGGAGGGGGGGGGGGGGGGG